TACCTGTCATCACCACATCTGCCATCAGCAACGTCCCAAGTAGCAGGAAGATGGCCCCCACCTTGCCTCTCCTTGCTATCTTTTCTGCAATTCTTGCAAGTGTGCTTTAATTTGAAGAAAACTAGTCTGACTCCTTAATTCAAGGAAATCTGAGAATCACGTTCTTAGCTTCCTAGTGTCTGCAGTTTAGGGATACACAGAAGGAAATCATACAGAATGAAGTTAAGTGGAACAGAGAAAGACAGTGATATGATATTGCTTACATGTGGAATGTAAACAAAAAAATGTCACAAATGAACTCATACACAAAACAGAAGCAGAGTCACAGATGTAGAAAACAAACTTACGGTTACCTGAGGGGAAAGGGGAAGGAGGGATACTTTGGGAGATTAGCACTGACATACACACTACTGTACATGAAATGGGTAACTGATAAGGACCTGCTATAGAGTACAGAGAAGTCTATTTGATACTTTGTAATGACCTACATGGGAAAAGAATCCAACTATACTTCAATAAAAATGTTTAAAAATAAAATATATACTTAAAAAAAAAAAAGAAGATTGTGGCATCCAGTCTTATCACTTCATGGCAAACAGATGGGGAAATATGGAAACAATGTCACATTTCATTTTCGTGGGCTCCAAAATTACTGTGGACAATGACTGCAGCCATGAAATTAAAAGACACTTGCTCTTTGCAAGAAATGCAACGACAAATCTAGACAGCGTATTAAAAAGCAGAAACATCACTTTGGACAAAGGTTCATCTAGTCAAAAGCTATGGTTTTTCCAGTAGTCATGCACAGATGTGAAAGGTGGACCATAAAAGAAGGCTGTGCACTGAAGAACTGATGCTTTTGAACTGAGGTGCTAGAGAAGACTCTTGAGAGTCCCTTGGACAGCAAGGTAATCAAACCAGTCAATCCTAAAGGAAATCAACCGTGAATATTCATGAGAAGGACTGATGCTCAAGCTGAAACTCCAATACTTTGGCCATCTGATGTGAACAGCCAACTCACTGGAAAAGACCCTGATGTTGGGAAAGAGTGAAGGCAGGAAGAGAAGGAGGCGACAGACGATGAGATGGTTAGATGGCATCACCAACTCAATGGACATGAGTTTGAGCAAACTCCAGGAGACAGTGAATGACAGGGAAGCCTGGTGTGCTGCAGTCCACAGGGATGCAGAGAGTGGGACACAACTGAGCAAGTGAACAACCACCATTCAACCCACTGCATGTATCCAACCAATACATCAATTAAAAACATGAGGATACCTAAACCCTTTCCCAGAAAGCTACTGGTAAATGTAACTGTCCAAATGAGAGAGAAAGTCAAGAGAAAAGAAGACATTTAGTCCCAGAAGCAGAGGCTGCTGCACAGGAAAGAGACAGGGAATGCCCAGGACAGTGATAAAGCAGAGCTGCAGGCAGACTGTGCGCACCAGGTGGAGACCACCGTCTGGCCTGCAGCAGGGCGGCCGTGAAGAAAGCAGGACTGAGCGGGGCTAAGGGTTCCTTCTGCAGAATGTAGGAAGGCTCCGGTGCATACAACTAAGCAAATGAGAAGAGGCAGCCATTAGTCCCAGGAAAAGAGAAACTACAAGGAAATAAAGAATATAATATTACCATGCATTATTCTGCACAGCAATGAACAGTGTTCGCAGTGAATACTAATTCAGCCAAAATATGAATATATCATGTTAGAAAGACCAAGTATTAGATGTGTGGGGGTGAAGGAATATTAAGAATGCCAATTCTTCATCTTCCATTAAAGATAATAACATTGAGAGTGAGATAGTATAAATATTATTTAATATACAGAAATATGTAGAAAGATTTACTATCTATTACTTTGGGGTGAGGGAATGAAACAAGGGGTAGAGGTGGATGGGGAAGGGTACTGGCTATTTTATTTTGAAACTGTGTTCCTATTGCTTTGAAAACAAAATTAAACAAAATATAATGATGCAGCAAAAAAAGAAAAGGTTCTGAGAAAAGGAATTTGTTCAGGGCCATGACACAGTTAAGAAATATTTGTCACAATGTCTCAAAGTTTCTAACAGCTTGCAGGAGTATGGAAATTCTTGAAACAGGATTCTTCCAAAAAAAAAAAAAAAAAAAGGTTCCAAAGTGGTAAGTCTTCCTAAGGAGTCAAATACAAACAATCAAATGAGAACCACACACCCGACCAACAGCACTCCTGAAGTATGCTGACTAACAGATCCACCCTCTATGTTACATTATTGTAACTCTACCCAGGTTTGCTTAATGTAACAACCATAAATAACTGGTGTAACCAGGTAAAGGAGTTCAAGATATAATCCAGACTGGTATCTGGGAAGATATCTGCCAATGAATCCAGTCTGTACGTGAATGGAATCTAAAGATTGCACAATATTAAGAATATGAGATTAAAAGCCTGTGTTCTGAATACACCCAGAGAGGAACAATGAGCAACTTCCGTAAGAGCTCTTCTGTCAAGCTTGTATGAGGAGAGGAGAGGCTATTAGGAAATTGTGTAGCAGCAATGGTGCTAGGACAAGGTGAAATAAAAAAGGGAAATCTTACTCTCTACTTAATTAATATCTTCCTTTAACCAGTTCATTAATGTCTGACTCACTGGCACACCAAATCTATTCCCACTTTGGCCTTCCCTCCTCCTCTTCAGTTGCCTTAAAAGTCCACCTACTTCAACTAGACACAGACTAAACTGCTCTATGTCCTAAATGGATATTGGCTACTTTGAACTTCTCCACACAAATAGGGACAGCCACTTAATTACAGCTGTTATACTCAGTGTAACTGACAATAACAAACTTCTAAACGGACCAGTTTAGAATCTCTATGTTGTCACACTAATCTTATTTACTTATTTCCTTGAGGTTGTGTGTCTACCTGAATTGTAAGTCTTTAAAAGATACAAGGACAGCACCAGGTACAAATAGGTACTTAAAAGTTTTCCTATAAATGTATGAAAACAAACATTTTTAAGAGAAAGAAAATGTGCCAGAGTTATCACTGGTGTGGGGTAGGTAGCCCTAGAAATAAATTTTTAAAGTCGAGCCACTTTGGTTAACATCTCAAGCAGTTTTTGACCTTGTCGCAGATTACTACCATGCCTGTGATCACTGAAGTAGGAAAAATCGAAGGTCAAGAGCAAAAAAGCAAATGGTAACAAAGAAAATATAATGATGCCACTGAAAAGAACCCTTCATGTATTTTCATAACTCATGAAAAAATTAATCCCAAAGCAAAAACAAATGCTTCTATTAAGAGTTATTTTGAAACCAACAAGGAAACGGGGGAAAAAAACCGTTTTCCTTTTCCATCAGCTCTTTCTCATTCAGTGCTGCTCAATATTTCTCCAATTCTTACAATAAAACACTCTTTATCATGAGTGAGGACAGTCTGTTAAGACTTTTTAACTAAAAAGTATAAATGCCCAATCATAGCACTGTCTTCATAATTACTTCTGACAAACTTGTGAAAGGCAGCACTAGTGAGCACACTTACATAAATATCAAAAGTCCTTTTCATATTCAGAAGATAAATCAAATTCAAACAGCTTAGAAAATTTTTGTCAAAATTAGGTAAAATGGCAACTTAATCAAGAAACTTGAAAAACACTTCAACTCTAGAAGAGCATGAAATTCCTAAATGCCTATACTTCTTGCCAGAGTTTGTTTTCCCAAAATACTAACAAAAACTTATGATAGAAACTCTAGTTTCCTGATTGAAGTTCTCTTTGTTGGCAACAGAAACAAAGCCTTCAAATACAACTGTACTTTGCTTTAATTTAAAAAGTAAATAAGTAAGAGCCGACATCTATCTGATGTGCTGAATCTTCTGTAGAAGTCTTACCTGTTTGGCTTTCGAGTTCTTCCCAGCAGAAGTCTTCTCACTTGCATTTCCATCCATCCCTCTCAGAACACTGATGAAGTCCTTCTTGGAAACCGAGGATATCAACTTAGCTCGTTTTCTAATAGAGCCTCCAGCTTCTTTAACCTTCTCATCTACATTCTTTTGATGCTTTTGAACAGCATTAAATAACTGCACCACACCCCTATGGAACACAAATACCAGAATAATGTCATTACGTAACAATTACACTAGAACACAAACTCTTGAGGACAGACGCAATCTATTTTCACTGCTCAGAAAAGAGGCAGTCATCTAATAAACGCTCAAGAGCATGGAAAAAGTCTGCAAAGTGAACATACACTTCAATGAATGAATATAAGTATCTGAATAGAGGATAAATACATGTGAGTTGATTTGTGGTTTTTCTCAGCTTCAGTCTTTCTAAATCAACTTTGGAACAAACATCTGCTTCTCAAAATCTAATCATACAATGGCTGAAGACTTTAAGTGTCAATGGGATGAGCACAGGCTTTACAGTTAGCTATCTGATTATCTGACGCCAGAAAGAGCTCCTGGATCTTGATTTTACCTGTAAATGGAAAAAATAATACTAAGAAGCTTAGAAAGTATTCAGCTACCTTACCTGCAAGTCTTATTATATAAAACTAATTTTTAAGTTTATTTGAAGTACTTTGTTCTGGAGTTAAGCTCATGGAAATTCTGAAGATTAAGACTTGTGGTGTCCATTATAGTAGTCACAGGCCACATGTAGCAAGTGAACACATGACCTACGGCCAGAACAATGTTGCAGTGTGCTCCAAGTTTAAAATACACATTAGATTTTAAAGACAGTATGAGAAAAAAAATTTTTAATTTCATTAATACTTGCTTTATATTTATTACATGTTGAAATAATTTGAATATATTGAGTTAAACAAAATTCATCATTGACTTTAATTTCACTTCTTTTACTCTTTTCATGGAGGCGCTCAGAAAATTTTAAGTTGCACGTGTGGCTCACACTGGATTTCTAGTCGATTTCTACTGGCCAGCACTGCTTTACACCACCGACACCCCTTCCAGCTCTAAGCGTCTATCATCTTTTCATGTTGCTGCTATAACCATCATCGGCTCCGCCACAGGTGCTGAGCATCCCTGCACGCTCTTGCTGGGTTCGGAAGAGCATAAGGCCTGACCACTCTTTACCAGGCCGTTTCTCAGGGCTGAGTCTGCGGTAAGCAACCTTGAGAGATGAGGTAATGTCTCCCCCCAGACAAAGAGCAGGCTTGTTACCGTTCCCCATAAAAGCAACGGATCCCCAGGTACAGAGTTCCTCTCCTGTAACACAACCCACCGCACACACAGGCATGCATCGAGGGCACCTGCGCTGCCCCCGGAGACACAGGGAACTGGTGGGGATGTGAAGCTCTGGCGACGGCTTCAGCCGTGAGTAACAGTCCTTCGTCTCTGATCTACAAGCGTCTGTCCTCTGCCAGCATCCAAGAAACCTCGCCAACCTAGCTTATTTGTTTATAAGATGGGTAAAATTCCATATGCTTCACAGCAGGGCTGGGACCACAGCGCTGAGAGGGAGATGCCCAGGGTATAAAATGTAAGGGGCACTTACTCTCTGGCACCAATCCTGTACTCTTCTCAGCTCTGCGTGGGTATTAATTCATGTAATTCTCAGAGAAATCCGATAGCGTAGGTATAACGTTCTCTTGTTTCCATGGATAAATAAACTGAGACAGAAGGAAATTAAGTAACTGCCCAGGGACACCCAGCTAGTCAGTCAGTGCTGGGATCGGTTAGCAGCCCGGCTCTGCCCTCACTCCCTCAACCCTCCGGCCTCACTGGCTCACCATCCAACACCCAGATGGACTGCCATAGGCAGCTCGAAGTTAAAGGGGATCTCACTGAATGTTACTGCTGTATTCTTTAAATGGTAACCTACCATTAAATGGTAACTGCTACCCCCTTCACGGAGCCTTCCTCAACTCCATACACAACCTCCCGTCAGATGCTCCCAAAACACAGGACATAGCTTTGCTCCCAAAGAGACTAGAACCCCCACAGGTAAGTGGGCAAGGACCATGCAGCAGCCACCAGATTCTATTCATCTCTGGGCACAGAGGTCATCAACTAAATGTTGGTGCCAAGATTAAAAAAAAAAAATGCTAAGTGAAAGGACAGCACAAAGCTGCTATAATGTGTAATTTGTTAGGTCATAAATATAGTGCAAAATAACAAAAACAATCACCTCATGCCATAAACTTAGATAAGCATCCTAAGAGAAACACAGGTAGAGGTCTGATTATAATGTTCTCGTGACCATAAAACACAAGATGATCTGAAATAGGCTCATACCAAATACACACTTAGCCCATTAGACACTTGCCTCACGAGATCTCCAAAATCTGTGGCTGAATCCAGTATTAGGTAGGCAGGCTGAGATGTAAATCACTTGGCTCTGACCAGGCAGAGCTTAAGAATCAAACCTCGTTAGAAATGGATCACTACAAAGCTTTAGCGCACTTAGTTTTTAAAGGGCAAGAACACTGTCTTACCTCGTAGCAATTCTCTGCAGATTTCTCTCCGTTTCTTTGTCTTTGACAACATCTGGCTTTACTCTGCACATCATTTCCCATTCCCGCTTCTTATCAAGCTGTGTTATAAATAGTGTTATGTGAAAGAACATTAGGCATTTTTGAAACTGCAGCACACTTTGATATGATACTCTGTGAAAGGACAAAGGTAATAAATCATTCGAGCTTTAGTTTGTCACGGGGGCTTTCAGAAACCCACCCTTTCAGGGGTCCGGCTCCGGGAGCCTGCGGTTAGCACTTGGCGCGTCATGTGAGACGCACCCAGTGAGCAGCCGGCAGGCTCTCCGACAGCAGGGGCCTGGAGCACCGCCAGTGTGCGGAGCCAGGAGGGCCAGGCTGGGGGCGAGGGAGCCCTGTGCCCAACCTGCCATCGCCAGAAGCCTCAGAAGGCAGCATCAGCAAGACGCCAAACCACCCTCTTCCGTAACCAGAGTTTAAACACTGCGTCTCTTTATTTTTAGAAACTGACTTCCCCAGCGGCCGGAATTATTAAGAACTTGTATCAGCTTTTAAAAGAACAGCATTGTGTCCTATTAGCACTGTAATAGATAGAACCTATTTAAACAGTGACTGTTCTTCTTTCCTCTTATGGCACATCTGACCACTGTCCTTGTCGTATATGGCTTATCAGTCACAAACTACAGCAAGCTGACTCCCTCTCATAATGCAGATATAGAAACAGATTAGGAAATAAGAATATCCCACAGACAACATCATCTCATTCAAAACTGTTCTCAGGGGGTTTCCTGGTCTCAGGTCCTTGATTTGATACACTTGCTTCTCCAGGTCCCCCACTTAGGTCAACATATCACCAAACATCAAATATACTGAATATGATGAACTAATTATCAAGAAGCTGGTAATAAGCATCAAAATCAGGAAGAACCAGTGGGAAAAAGTCTCCTTTTTATCTTTTCCTTTTCTTCATTCATCTGATCTCTCACTTTGTATTAACGAAAACATCTGTTCACAGTAAAACCAAATCTTTGCTCTTGCTATACTCTGAAGCCTTTTTAAAGAAATAGCTTCTTCCCCAAATCGGATATTTTAACTGCAATGAAATTCACTGTCAGATTATACCAGAAATAAAAAAACCTTAATTTTAAGTTTAAAACAGTCAATCCCTAATTATCTCTTGTACCCAGGGGCTAACAGGCATGCATGATCCCCAGGTATTCTTTAACTCTGAAAGGAATTTCTCTACTTATAATTAGAAATAGGCAGCCAATATTCTGGAAGCCAACAGTATTAACATTAAGAAACAAACACAGTTACACAGACTCTACCCAGAAGCACACACCCCAGAGCACTTGTGGCTGCTGGGCCGTGTCCCCGGTATGAACGTGCGTGCTTCCATGCATTACGTGGACAGCATCAGCTCTAGCAAGCAAAGCTTTGGTCCAGAGCAGAGTCAGGAATTTCTTTCTGTTGGCTTTAAAATGTTGTTCTCTTACTGAAACATTGGCACTAGGGGTAATTAAGGATTCTGATATTCTTAAAGCCTCCTCTAGTTTTTGCCAGATTAATAAGAAAAACAAAGGTTCAAATTTTAAGTTGAAAAGCTATCAGTAAGACTTAGAGACAAAGTTGATCTTAAATAAAAGTACAATGAGAATACTGAATTAGTAACAGAGTACGTTCTAAGAGTAGCACTTGAAAAGTTCCATCTTTATACAGCCTCCAACAGAGAGCACCCAGTATTATGAACAAGGAAAACATTCATCTTGAAACAAGATAAGGGGATGGTGAACTTAAAAGGAAACAAATGCCAACTGGAACTTAAGTTTTCTCTCCTTTTTATGGATAAAGTACCTCTTGGAAATAAGTACTTTTATATTGTCAGTATGACTGTATAAAGTTATTTTTCTTTCATTAAAATATAATACCTATTTCAGCAGCCAAATAGTTTAGACATATTATTGTTCTACTGTTCATTTATTATTGCTTATCTTTGCAATACACAACAGCAAACTTAAAGTCCAACTTTTGGCCTTTCATTAGCAGACAGCACCAGTCTAGCTTCTTCCATCAGTGGTTTAACAAAAGATATAATGAACTCAGGTTTATCCATCAGCAAAACAGTTTTTTTCAGAACTGCAACCAACCCTGTCAATAACATCATCACAGATTTATATCATAAAATAGATTTTAAGCTAAAAGTAACTAATATGATTCTATTAGTTCAGAGTTAGCTTTATTAATAAAAGTTAACATCTGGACAGGTAAGTTGAATAAAATATTCAAACCTAGGAGTCACTGGCACATGTATAAGTACTTCACTTTTAAAAGGATACATTTCCTTGGAGTTCACGTTTTTATTGTTTTGCTTAGATGAATAAAAAACATGCTCAAGAGAACGATTCAGACTAGGTTTCTGAACACAACCTTGGTTATCCAGTCACAGACACAACACACGTTACAAACTGGAATGTTAACTGGAGAAACACTGAAAGGAACAATTCGGTACCACTGAGAACTAGCCTTGCCACCGCAATGTACAGAACAACTGGTAGGACACACCTGTTTCCTTTTCTCTAGTCTCTCTTGTTTTAACTTCTCTTTGTCCTTTTCCAGCTCTCTGTTTCTGAGCAGGATGGCGGGCTTGCTCTCAGGAATCTTCTTGTTCAGGATTCTAGCCATGGCATCTGCCCAGCCCGCATTAGTCCCCACACTAGCCTCTGCAGCACTGTCGTCGTCCTCGCGGGGTTCAGCTTCATCTTCGCTGTCAGCTTCCACTGCATCATCACCAGAGGAAAAGTGATCTTTTTCCAATCCACAGCTTCCGAGAGGACCTAACAGTAGAAACAAACTGAACTTTAATACTGGAGGCATTGTTTGGCAAGGCCACAGTGAAACCCCCAAGTGCCTTCCTAAGGCTAATGGTTCTCCATCTGTCTCCATCCTTATTTCCAAGGGCCACAGCTGCAGTGACAGTGGAGAACGGCAGGACCCTCCATCCTCCTGTCACCTACCCGCAAAGACCTGGCCCGGCCATGTGGCTGGGGGAGGCCGCCACAGCATCAGCACCCAGGACCCAGGGAATGGAAGTAAATCCAACAGCCTCAGGGCTCCTGTGGTCAGTGGTGACAGATGCTGCCATGGGGCTGCTGCAGGGTGTGTGCAAACCCACAGGCTTTTAACTGCATTATTAAACTACTTGAAGAGACTAACAAATATTATTTTAAAAACAAGTAACAACAAAAAACTTTAATCTGTCAAGAAAATGGAATAGTGTTTTCATGGCACAGAGGTCAGAGTAAGTTCTCTGAGGGCTTTGGGCCTGATGTTTAAAATCTGAATCCCGGTTCGGAAAAATCTAAACACTTGTTTCCTTTTACAGAATCTGCCTATAACATTAATAAACTGGGTGCTGCAACATTTTTGAAAAAATAATCTAATGAAGCGATATGTGCCCCAAATTTGACTGCACTGCTGGACGGCCAAATGAAAATATCAAGTTTTGAGTGAAGGATACAAATTTGTACACTGTGGAGCTGTACCATGCAGACCACCCAGAACCACCCAAAGAAGCATACACGTGATACTATGTCATCTGTAAGATTAAAACAGCTGAGATCAGAGGAGTGGCCAAAACACAATCTAGTTGGTGGTCTCGCTTGAAAACCAACTTGCTGAGAACCCCTGGGTACTTTAAGTGTTGCAGTCTGTCTCAAATTCTGAAGCTCACTGCAGTTTAACAACAAGAGCACAAGCGCCAGTGAAATCTGTGTGCAACTGTATGCCAGAGCCTTCTGAAGCGCTTCTGCTTTGCTCTTCAAAAACCTGCGGGGCTAAATTAAGCAAGACTTCAAAAGTAATTTTATATTACCTCATGGCTACGATCAAAGAGAATGGAACTGACTATATAGTCAGCTCTTCCACTCTGAGGGATCCTCCCTAACCTCTTGACTTGAAGTCATGACTTAAGACAGAACTGCTTTAATGACTTGACTTAAGCATCACTACACTTGCTTTTTGGTATTACATTTGACTAATATCTTTGTTTTTTTTGATTGCTGAGAACTCATGAAACAAAAGGATGGAAAACTATTTAATACATTTCAAACAAAAATTTGCAGCATATTAGAAAATGGCAAATAAAAACGTATAAAACAAATCAGTTTATACATATATAAAATGAGTCTCAAGCATAGGAGTAAAAATGAAGTATCTTCAAAAAGTAACAGAACAATACATAAAATTAAACACGGAGAGCAAAATAATACTTTAAAAAAGCATGATCTTACATAAAGTATGTTAATGGTATCAAAAAAATTAAAGGAAATGATAAGAAGCAAGGGGCTGCTGCTGCTGCTAAGTTGCTTCAGTTGTGTCAGACTCTGTGCGACCCCACAGACGGCAGCCCACCAGGCTCCTCTGTCCCTGGGATTCTCCAGGCAAGAATACTGGAGTGGGTTGCCATTTCCTTCTCCAAAAGAAGCAAGAATCATTAATAATTCTACTGCCCTAATGTGTTGCATATTTCTTAAAAAAGAAAAAAGTTTTGAAAGAGAACTTAATTTGACGCATAATTTGAAGCCTCCACTGTATCCTGTATGCCTGGCAAATTTAAGAAATCTGAGAAGGTGACAAGGATGTGACATGCAGATTTAGGTGATACAAAAACACTCACTCTCTGCAATGTAAGAGAAAGTATACAAATTTTGCCAAACAAAAGCTGAAAGCACTACTATTCAATGAAAATCTGTGTGTCTACTATACACCAGATTCCAAAGCCCAGAAGCATCTCCTAGGACCAGCGTTCCCTGGAAAGTACATTGAGAAACAGCCTGGGGAATGTAGTTAAGTGAAAAACATGTATGTTAATACAGAATATGTTTATTCCTCAGAGTCAGCAGCACTGGACAGGTACTAACAATAAAATAAACAATTCTTTGAAAAGTACTTCTTCTAGGCACGCATTCATCTAAATGTAAAGAGGCACAATGGTTTGTGTCAATGAAGAATCTGAGTGATCAGCAGCAGAGGTTTTTACTAGTTCCTGGTAAAAAATGTCAAAACTACAACACTGACACCTAGTGTTTTGTCCTAATGAAGTCACACACAAACTGCAGTGAATTTCACATACTCACCAACACTGTAAAGGCAGCCAAAGACTTTCTGGCTGTATAAGCCACTGCAGTTCTCCATTTCTAAACCTGGGCTATCTTTCTTTGCTTTGTTTCTTACCCAGTTTGACTACCACAACATGCATGCTATGGACACAATGAATTCATGAAGTTTTATAACACCATTTCATACAACCTGCACTTACCCCACCAATTAAAAAAAAAAAATTTCAGAAGAATTTGCTGCAGTCATGGCTTTTTATTATATTTTTAAGACACCCTAACTCAGAAGTTTTCAGTCATGCACTCATGACCAATGGAAATGATGGTATTTTCTAGAAATAAATTTAAATATGTCAATGTCATGCAGTCAGCTAGCATACTACAAAACAAAGTTTTCTTCTGGAATACCAAAGCAAATCACTACACAAGTCAGAAAATAGAACTGACCCTTAAAAATTTACCGTGGCCAATGAAGACGAGAATTTTTTTAATTTACCACAAACTGATATTCAACAGAAGTGGATGTAACCCAGGGATCTAAAGGCCCCAGATAAGCAAAAAATTCCTTTGAAGGAATTTTATTTTAAACATTAACTCTAATTTTGCATTCTCTTTTAAAAACCTGGAAATTAAGGAAGGGCGACAAAGAATGCTTACTGGAAGTAATAACTAATGGTTCCAACAGAACCTTGTGCTTATGAAAATGTTCTCTTATCAGAGCTGCCCACCAACCACAAGAGCCTAGTGGGTCCTTCACATGTGGCTAGTACAATGAAGTGTCACTGAATTTTTTTTTAACTCGACGAAGTTTTAATTACTTCACCGTGACTAGTGGCCACATTGGGCAGGGCAAGGTTAGACTTCTGAGGTAACCAGGTAGGCAGAGGCATCTCTCCATCTCTTGCTGCACTTTCTCCAAACTTCCACTAGCCTTTGGAACTGGGATAAAGTTTTTTAAAAGACTCACAGTCCTTCAGTATTTACCACGTACGTGTGAATGAAGATGAAGGAAGGAGAAAATGAAAAATCTAGGTTTTTCCCCTTGAAGAAGTCAAATATTTAGCAGGACTAATAGAAAACTTTGGTTTAAAATTTGTAAGCATTCTTCTAATAGAAAAATAACAAAGAAAAGGTTTAGGGGTACCTTTTACAAAGATGATTTCAAGTTACTTCTTAAAGGTAAAGTAAGAGCTGGAATGACAAGAGAAAGAAAAGGCCAAATAAGTAAAATTCTACAATAAGGCCAAATGAAAGAGGCATGGGAGAGATCATTGAATCTAGAACCAAAACATTCTTTGAGTCAGTGCTCTGTAATAAAATTAGAATTAGTATTGTAATCACCACTACGACACTCCAGGCAGAAGAACCCAGCATGCCCAAAAAGCACGGGGTGCTGAAGCAGATGAGGTATCTATAAAACATAAAGGAGTTCATACAGGCTGAAACTGGAGATGTGGGGATTGAACAGTGAGAACTGGGTATGAAAAGCTGGTTAGTTTATATAAATAAGCCGGTCTGATTTATCACCCAAGAAAAAAACATACATTAAGCCCCAGGTGCACTATAGGTGTGTACTTCAGCAAGCAGCCAAACTGCTAATGCTATTTTCACCTCCCACTTACCTCAGATCCCTCCTTCTAAGAAAGTTTCTCTACTGGATTAAAAAGGTTGTTCTTTTAAAATACAATTATCATCTGGGAGCATTAAGGATATTGCTTAACCTTGATCTTACGTCACACCTTTAGAGTTTACTTTAAATCAAACAGTACTTATAAAAATTTGAGATCAGTTAGTAGTGGTTAAAGAGTAAAGACACAGAACT